TTAGTTGTGTCACGGAAAATGGAAGAGAGATTGGCAAGGAAATTATATTGTTGTATGTTCCAATCATCAATTTTCTTTTAGTTTTTTGGAGAAGAAAATGGACGATGAAGAAAATATGGATGAACACTGTAAATGGAAGATTGAACCCATGAACCCTAGAGTATTTTTAACACAGAAGTTGAATATTGAACATACCATTTGCTTACATGGCATATCAACTCAGCCATAATTAACATTTTTCACACAAAGTAACGATATGGACCAAATGATTTAACGGAAGTGAAGTTAAGGGATCATTGTATAATATTTTTTAGTTCGGGAACTAAAACGGTACTTCGCTCAATGTTATGGGACCTAAGGACTAATTATGCAATGAATATATTATTACATGTTCTGAAAACATTAATTTATTATTATAAAGTAAGTTTTATAAAATATGGGGTAGATTTGATTAGTGTATTTTAATATAGTGTCTTGTTCTTTGTGCTAAGAATTTTATGTGACTTTTCACATTATTTTAAGCCTTAAATGCACTTTTGGTCCCTATAAGTTGGCTAGTTTTTTATTTTACTCCCTATTTTTTTTATGTCAAAGTTCATATATCTCACTTTTGTGTTGGTTTTAGTCCTTAAAGTTGAAATTCGCAGCAAAATCTGATGTTTTACTGCGGATTTTGTCTTTAAGGACTAAAACCAACACAAAAAGTGAAATATAGGGACTCAAACCAATTTATTTTTCTGTCTTGTAATCCATCACAATGAATAATGTTTATGAGTATTGAAATATTGTATATAAGTTAGGTGTAGGGTAAAACTTAGTGAATGAATTCTCTTATAGTTAAATGGTTATTAGACTAATCAAAGGAATACAGTAATTAATATTTATATATAACTAAAATGAAATGAAAGACCCTAATTTTAATTAAATAAAAACATATTTTTCATTTGTCGGGATTTGAAAAATGTATCGGGAATCAATTGAACACTCGGTTATATACTATAATTGATAGAGTAAACAATATTTTTTTGAAAAAACATTTGGCTTGTTTAGGTATTATTCCTCAATTTTTTATGACTGAGGTGAAAATGTTGTCATGAAAAATATTATTTATAGTATTTCATTATTGAGAGTGATTAAATTTGATGTTTGTGACCCGAGTTCAGCCTTATGAGAAGCGTTGAATGAGGATGAACATTACATATAGAGATATAGACTTCTGTGATTCGTGGCCAAGCCCATATGAGAAGTTGTGGTTAAGGATTGATGCTCCATGTAGTTAAGGGGGCCTGTAACCTATCATCGGGCCTATATGGAAGGTAGTGGTCAGGGCGACACGTTTTAGCTAAGTAGGGAATATGTGACACATGTTCAAACTGGTGTGATATGTTGTGGCAGGGGAGAGATGCCCCAATTACTTGTGATCCCTTGATGTTGAAAATGGGTTATATGCCCCTTAATGATGGTATTCACAGACTATATGAGATCATTTGAATCTTGAGTTCTTGTACTGGCATAATCATAAGATATGTAGAGTTGAGAAAATATTTTTTTATGACTTATTAGAATTAAGAACACGTTAATCGAGTGGATTTGTGGTATAAATCAAATCTCATTTAGATAAGTTGAATCTCAAATCCATATTTAATTATTTTAGGTAACTTAGGGAAAGCTAAAGGAAATAACAAGGGTTGAAGATGCGAAGACTTATTGTTCTTGTTTTGTTTTTTGTTGTGCTATTGTTTTAGCATTTTATATTGGCGTACACTTAGTATATATGTATGTAGTTTACTGTACTCGTATAGCATACTTATATGTGATTCCATTTGGACACTTATGAACCTACTCATGTAGCATGAATAAATGCTTTAATTAATAAGATTTACAAGTGTATTTTATTGGAGTTACTATCTGAAAGCTCCTCAAAGGTACAAATCTAAGCATTGAAATTTTCTTGAACTTGACCAAACTCATGTTTCCTTAAAGGATATTGGTTATGGTTATCCTATGTTAATTCACAGATTGGTAAAATACAAAATATAAAATATTAGTCAAGTTTATAATTAGAAAATTAGGAACTCAATAAGAAATTGTATGTAAGTGTTTCCTATCTTCATTCGATACAAAATTTCTTAATCTCAACACTTGATACTTCCCAATAGATACAAAGTTGCCGGAACATTTACCAATGACATGGTTGATTGTTGCACACTATATAGAACACTAGCTAACTACAGAAGAAATCTAATCCAACACAACTAGTTTCTGATACTCAAGGCTAGCGATGGCAGCTTGCATGGCTTCTACGGGGCTTATATCACCTTCATTATTCAAGAATAATATCAGCAGATTCTTAGAAAATCTACTCACCAGGGTCACTCCATTCTTAGTGGATGCCACCGAGGTCGCTCTCGAGTCTCTCAGATTCCAAAAAACTATCTGAGGCACAACAAAACCATACCCTTTCTCTTTATACTTCCTAGTGATTGCTTGGTAATCTGTCTCCCAAGAGTTTGCAGAAGCTTGATCAAACTCCATGTTACTGAATACAAATTATCAGATGAGTTTAATGCACAGAACCTGACATTAACTTGATGTTTTAGCATTTTATATTGGCGTACACTTAGTATATATATATGTAGTTTACTGTACTCGTATAGCATACTTATATGTGATTCCATTTGGACACTTATGAACCTACTCATGTAGCATGAATAAATGCTTTAATTAATACGATTTATAAGTGTATTTTATTGGGGTTACTACCAAAGAACTAATAATATATATATATTTTGGGTGTGTTTGATTCAAAGTTAAAAATATAATCATTAATTGGAATGATATTTTCATGATGATTATTTCTAAGAATATTATTCCTACACATGTGTTTGGTAGAAATTTACATTTATAATTGTAATATTTGTTTAATTTATAATTATTATAAATTGAAAATTGAAATAAATATGAGGGGTAGTTGGAAGTGACAGTTGATTGAATGTATTCTCATGAAATTGTTGTTTCCCCATCGTTTAAGCCTTGGAATAAAAGTAGAAGCAGTGTGTGTAAATAATATTCTTAAGAATAACAAATACCTTTGAATAATTGCTTAATTAACAAATATTTGAGTATTGCATTCTCATAGCTATATTCGCATAGATAATTTTTTAACCTTGAAGGAATATACACACACAAAAACGCGTAGTTAAAAGAATACAATTTATGATAATAAAAAAATATATTTTAATAACCAATTTTATTAATGAAAACATTACATATATAAGATTGAATTTTCTCTTACATAAATTGACTGGCTTATATAAACTAGAAGAGTTGTAAATATTCATGGCTTGATATCACTAGGTGAAGAAGGAGAAAGACAACAAGGAGGCTTATCAAACGCCGTTGGCTGGCAGGTTGAAATGGTTACACAACAAGGATCTAAACCTTGAACATTACCAACCGAAACTAGCACAGAACATTTTCAACAGAGTTTTCTTTGTTATAAAGTTTGGCTTACTCGATTATAGATTGTCAGGCGGAGTGTTCAGACCAACTATGGATGATTGTCAGGACTTCCACGTGAAAGTAGGGATGATCAGCTCGTACTCATCGTCCAGGGTCAACCACTCCGCACTTCTTGAATAGTAAATGGACTTTCCCTTACGAAGGGTCAAACATCTTCGAGAGGAGAGTGGGTTCAGTTGGTGATGTGTCATCGGATGAGGGGCACGTGGGAAATGTGTTCTCCACTAGCCCTAATGGGTTGGGATCACTCTTGACCGCCCTCGATATAGAACTGGATTGGGTTGTGTCCGACGTTGGGTCAGCCAGAGGCCTAGTCCAGAATGCTTCTCTTACAGTTTAATTAGAATAAAAACAATTGATAGGCCAATAAATTGATGTTATTCAAATTAAACTAGAATTAAAGGAATCGATATCATGAAGGACTTAGACCATTGAACCACATTCTATATGTTAAAGAGCGGGAAATGAATGATGAGACGCATGCAATTTGGAAAATGGTTCTTTGTTTAAATTGGTTTTCAAGAATAGTTTAATTTTCAGATTATATATTTCTTCATCAATTTGAATGGTTGTATTTCTTTAGTGAGGTGTATGAAAAAAATAAGCAATCTACATATTATATAATAAACTCTGGGTACTTTGAACAATGGTTATATATTTTATTTTATCCGTGATTAAATGTTATTTACGTTCCAACTAAATTTGGCTTGTGGGTTTCGAACCGAATACTTAAATGTATATATCACAACGGTTGATATAGGTAACTGTTATGATAGGTAGCGCGCGTCCTGCCTTATGACACGGTCTCGCTACCGTGGTTGAAAGCACCAAAAATACAATCACCTCTTTACCTCACAACGGTTGGTCAGACGTTATAGTATCCATTTTTCAACCGTTGTGGTATGACTTTTTCGTAGTAGTGAATACTTTCTCTTGACTTTCTAAACTTTTGTTGGTGTTGAATTTTTCTTTCTCGACTTCCTTTAGGTGGACTTTTTCTTAATCGCGATTTAAATACCCCTAATACTCATATAATATAACCTTGCTTAAAAAAACACATATACATTTTTAATACTGTTTTTTCCTATTAGTACCTATTTATATTAAACTCATTTTTGTCTTTTTATAACATATTTATTAAACCCATTTTTTATTTAAAATTTTCAAAAAGTATAAAACACAAAAATTCAACAAAACAACAAAATAACTACGAAATAAAAGTAATTATATATAAATGCTGAAAATATATATATATATATATATATATATATATATATATATATATATATATATATATATATATATATATATATATATATATATATATATATATATATATATATATATATATATATATATATATACTACCTAATCTCAGTTATAAATTGTTTCACTAGTTGAGAAAACCAATAGTATACCAAGCTCGATAGGATCATGTCATTTTGTAAAACATTTTAATATTTCAAATTTATTTCAATTTATATATTCAAGGTAAAAAGTTTGCACTTAACTAAAATCAAAATCAAAATCAATATAATAACAAAAACAACAGCAAAAATGACAACAACCCAAACATTAAAATCTGGTGCTTTTCTATCTTTCTCCGCTCGTTCATCATATACGACAATAGGACTTCTCACTTGATATTCACCATCATCCCAAATTAAAGAAGCAGATCTAATAGGCTCTTTTATGGATCCATCTATTGTAAGAATGTATGTCTGCCTTTCCCCTAATGAACTGAAAGACAAAACATCAGGCTTCACTGAGATGTTGAGTCCATCAGGAAATGTCAGAAATGCTCTATATGTGGAAGATGGTGATCCAATATTTGTTACGGTTCGTTTGAAGGTCCCTCTTATGTGATTCAGATTTAATGCTTTTAAAGCAAAGGACGGATAATTTAAATCCCGTGCTGATGTATATGATACATTGTAACAACTATCTGAATTTCCAGTGATTTTTGTTAAAACGGATTTATTGTAGCCTAGTGTACATAAGAATCTTATGTAATCCATTTTTTCAGCATCATATATTAACCCGGGATTTAAAGCCTTCACTGGATCAATTTGACCGACTCCGTAAGCAAATTCAGCATCATGATTATTTATAGAACTCATTAGTTTGGCTGCAACACACAAGAAACACATGATTGATATTTGCTTATATTAATTTAAATCAGTAGCAAGTAACACATGAAGAAAAATAGTATCAAGTAACATTGAAGAAACATTTAAAAAATTCCTTTATATTGCACTCTTAGTGTGATCGTAATACCTGTTGTCATCAAAGCTGATCGGATAGCAGCAGGAGACCAACTACGGCAGAAGGATTTGATGTATCCTGCTGCACCTGATACATGTGGACATGGCATTGATGTTCCGGACACAATGTTAAATCCTAGTTTTCTTCCTTCGATGGAAATCGGAGACCAACTAGCGATGATATCAACTCCAGGAGCAATTAAGTCCGGCTACAACATTAAAGCAAAAGTAAAGAATTAATCAGAATACTTAAAATGATATAGATGTCTTTGATTTATTCATTAATGAAAATAAAAATAAAAAACAAACCTTAAGAATATCAGGTGTAACTAGATTTGGACCTCTTGATGAAAAGGGTGCAACTACAGGTGCCAAAGCATTTTCTATTTCATGAGACTTAAATATTGTTGCCATGGGAGTTCTGCAAAATAATTTATAAAAAGAAGTCAAAATTTGTAAAATGAAGAGTGTATATAGAAATTACATTTCATATACCTTGCAGAATGAATGTATTTATCTATGCTAGAAGCACCATTTGGTTGAAGGTAACTTCCAGCTAAAGGGAAATAGTCTGCAACATCTCTAAAACCTTGACCTTGCGTCAAGACACCAATAGCACCAACTCTTAATGCCTCATCGGTACCTTGGCTGCCTTCGCACAAAACAATTTTTCCTTTCATCAATGTAGCATCAAGGGAGTTGGGAGAACAAAACCTTCATTTTTAATTACAATACTTTCATTAGCAAATTATAAACTAACTTTTCATCTATATTCAATAGCACATAGTTACTTGGATTTATGGCCATTGAAGTGTGCTTCCTTATTTGGAACATCTCCACCGTAGACAATAGGATACATTTTTTCTAAGAGGTCAAATGTATTCACAGAGACCCCCTAACATTAAAAATTAAGAAGAAACTATTACGTCAGAAGAAACAACAAACCAAATTTTGAAGTCAGAGAAGATAAAATAAAAAAAATTTTAGAATATGATGAAAACAAAATTATATATTTATCATTTACCTCATAAATCTTGTTGTTTCCTAATTTCAACTCCATCCGCAGCCGCATCAATGAAAGCACTAAGGATGTGTTTCGAGTAGCAATTAGAAGTTCCACACACTTTATATATTGCAATCCGGGCTGATGGAACCCCACCTCTAGATGTACCTTCTCCTAAGCCGGACACACTTGCATGCTCAATTGGATTTCCGACTGCGGTTGATGCTACGTGTGTCCCATGACCATAAAAGTCTATGGGAGAGATCATGTTTTCATCGCCCATAACACCATAATATCTTGCTCCAATTAATTTGCTAAAAAAAACATTTATATATCAACAATTACTTGTGTTATACTCTAATGTAAAATAAATATTCTGAAAAGAGTTGAAAAAATATTTTCATACTTGTTGCAAGTGAAATTATAGGATTCACAAACGCCCTTCCATTTCTTTGGTGGTGGCCCGAAACCTTTGTCATTAAAACTCTCAGATTGGGGCCAAACTCCAGAATCTATTACTCCAATGATGACATCAGATTCGTAGGAGTTTCTTTTCACATTCATTGGAAAACCAATAAAATCCCACGATTTTGTTGTAAGAAGAGGTCTCTTTTTATCTGGAAAGATAGCCACCACTCCATCCAATCCTACGATATCAATTTTCATAATTAAATGTTCAGTTATTAATTATAAATAATAAATATAATTTGGTTTTCAAAAGTTTAAAATTATTTTCTACACACCTGCCATTCTATTCGCTTCTGTCTTGGATAATTTTGCAACAAATCCCCCAAAACTAGGCTCGTAATAATGCAGTAAACGTTCTGGCTCACCATTAAAATTATAAATAAAAATAATGGATAACGAAATAATTATTAATAATATATTTTTGATACTAATTTCATATTTTAAAAAAAATGCTAACTGTAATTTAAAAACTTTAACTTAAATATGCAACCTATCAGAAGCTTGTTGCATCAGATATTTGTAATGAAGCACGGCTGAATTTTGATCTTTCATATATCCAGTATAGATTATGTAAGTCTGCATTTACATAATAACATATATTTATGAGAAACATGAAAAATAATTATTTTTAGTCAACAAAAATATATATCATAAAATTTTTATAAAAAGAGATGAAATGTAATTATTTACCTTCAAATGGTCTTGGGAAGATGAGTTTATGAAAATTGAAATAAGAGTAACACTAAAAAGCAAGTGACAGAATGAAAATTTGCAGTCCATTGTTACCTAGAAAAAAATGGTTAATAATTAATAAGCTTGAAATTTTAGAAATGTTGGTACCAAACAAATGAGTGAAAGCGTGTTACTATTTTACTGATGGGTCAACGAGTAAACAAGTTCAAGAAACTATGTATGTTGGGTTTTTTTCTTCAATAGGGTTGCTCTCTAGCTAACACTATGTATGTTGAGAATGAAGAAAAGCAAGTGACTTGAAAAGATGATAACTGAATTAGCTATGAAATGTGTTGTGTTGTGTTTGAGTTGGACTTAGAGACGAGTTGGTGTTTTATAACAAAAAGAGAATTGGTTGAAGTTATACCAGCACAAGTATGGGAAAGAGGGAGTGTGGATTTATGGTAAGGATGTGTGCATCACTAGTTACCTGAATGTGTGATGCGGACTTGTGAAGCCACGTAGGTTTTAAAAATGGAAATGGGAAGAATGATTCAATGTTGGTCTATGATTTGATGATAAATGGGAGTCATGTGTTGCCATTCATAGGACAAACATTTGCCTAACATGTACCTCTATAGATTCTTTTGCTTTTCTTAACTTTTTTTTCTTTTACTTTAAGTTTATATTTTGTTTCTCTTGTTTTTCACTCATACAGACTTTAAGATGTTTAAGAATAATAATCAGATAAGTTAGTTCTAATTTGCCTATTCTTCTAGCAAGCAAGCATCTTAATGCTTGTCCATAAATGGTGAATATGGAGAAAAATCATTTCCTCAAACTTCAAGATACATCAGTTGTATGGTTTGATGTGGAAATGATGTGTATCCTAGAAGTGAAAAACATGGAAATTATATATATATATATATATATATATATATATATATATATATATATATATATATATATATATATATATATATATATATATATATATATATATATATATATATATATATATATATATATATATATATATATATATATATATATATATATATATATATATATATATATATATATATATATATATATATATATATATATATATATATATATATATATATATATATATATATATATATATATATATATATATATATATATATATATATATATATATATATACTAAATGGCAATAATAGACTTATTTTCTAAAATCTATAGAAGTTGTGTTAAGCAATATTATATTATGTCTTTTTATAGAAAATGTATATAGCTTTTCACCAAATAAAATAGTTGAATGTGTTTAAATATACTTTTCTATATATAGAAACAAAAAAGAACAAATGCTTGGTTTTTTCCTTCCGCCATTCTCTTTCTCATTTATAATAATGATATATTATTTTTTACTTATGAAATAATTTTTTTAAACTTTTGAATTATTTTATATAAATTCTTTGATAATATTAATTATCAGTATCTCTAGTGTAAGTTGTTTTAACGTTAAATTAAATTAAAAAATGACATGGCAATAAATTTTACTATTTGATTGGTCGAAGGTATATGTGTTTAAAACTGTTAAATTAAACTGAATTGTCAATTTGAACCAAACTAAAATTAAAATAATTGAACTGTTTACTGAACCAAACTATATAACACAAACAGTATTAGAATTGTATTAAAACTGAAAACTGAGCCGGATCTAAATCGAAAAAAGATAAATACAAAAAATTAGTTTTAAATTTTTTAAAATAAATTTTAGAAAAATAATTTAATAGTTCAGTATTTTAATTAATTATTTGGTTTGAAAAAAATTATTTCCTAATGGTTCAATACCGTATAAATTATTTAAAAGATATGATAAACTAATAATTTAAATTCGTTTCTATTATGAGTAAAATTCAAATGAATTTTTACTATGATTTGTTGCTGTAAAAGGTCCTATCGATATCCAATTGAGCTTAAAGATACCTGAGTTTCATCATTATTTAATATGGCTCTTCATTTTATAAAGATATAATATAGTATTACTTATCAAAAACTTGCCTTACATAAACACAAAGAAAGTAATAGTAGGAGGTTTGGGCATGTTGGGGATTAATTTGTTTTCATTTTACTTTAATGTTTTAATCTTGAGTTTGCAAACATGGTTTTTGGTATGTTGAATTGGTGTCTACACAATTTTATTAAAGCTTCAAAATAATTTCCTTAAATACATAAGACATGCTATTGGGTTCTTTCTTGGTATGTGTGTTTGTCTGCCTTGATAATTTAGTATCTTTTCATCTAAATTACTTTTAATTTTATTTACCTCATTCATATATACTCCAACAAGATTCCAACATGCCCTAACAAGGGTTTATTATGTTTATACTGTTAGTGGAATTTTGGTTAATTATAGTGTTTAGAGTTTTTGTTGATGGTTTTAATTTGATGTAGGGATGATTTTAGAAAACCTTTCAATACACTGCTTAAAAAACTATTTTATCTCGGTTAAAAAATATGTTTTATCTCAATTTCACCAACTAGATAATTAACAACATTATAAAAAAAATGTATATTTTAAAATAGCGAAAACACATATTTTTTCGATTTTGTTATTTCACCGATTTTGTTATTTTATCTATGGTTAAATCACATTTTCACTATTTATGTAATGTTCATAGTATTTGTGTATGAATATTATATTCTGTCTTTTTATAGAAAAAGTATATAGCTTTTCACCAAATAAAATAGTTGAATAAAATAGTTGAATGTGTTTGAATATAGTTTTCTATATATAGACAAAAAAGAACAAATGTTTGGTTTTTTCCTCCCGCCATTCTCTTTCTCATTTAATAATAATGATATATTATTTTTTACTTATGAAATAATTTTTTTAAACTTTTGATTTATTTTATATAAATTCTTTGATAAAATTAATTATGAGTATCATTAGTGTAAATTGTTTTAAAATTAAATTAAATTAAAAAATGACATGGCAATGAATTTTACTATTTGATTAGTTGAAGGTATATATGTATTTAAAACTGTTAAATTAAACTGAATTGTCAATTTAAATCAAACTAAAATTAAAATAATTGAACTGTTTACTGAACCAAATTATATAACACAAACAGTATTAGAATTGTATCAAAACTGAAAACTGAGCCGGATCTAAATCGAAAAAAGATAAATACAAAAAATTAGCTTTAAAATTTTTAAAATAAATGTTTCAAAAATAGTTTAATAGTTTAGAACTTTAATTAATTATTTGGTTTGAAAATAATTATTTCCTAACGATTTAAAACGGTATAAAATTTCTAAATTAGGATATGATAAACTAATAATTTAAATTCGTTTCTATTATGAGTAAAATTCAAATGAACTTTTACTATGATTTGTTGCAGTGAAAGACCCTATCGATATCCAATTGAGCTTAAAGATACCTGGGTTTCATCATTATTTTATATGGCTCTTGTTTTATAAAAATATAATATAGTATTACTTATCAAAAGATAATGTAACAGTAGTAGTATGTAGGAGTTAGTCATTAAGATAGTGAATAATTATATATTTAATATAATTTATTAGAGAAATAGTAAATCCTAAAAAGTGATTTAGAAAAATAAATAAATAATTAAAAAGGAGCTTAGTTTTCCTAATTTAATTGTTCATAATTAACTCAATATATAACCTGTACTGTATAAAGAACATTGATGGAATAAGTAGTT